AAGTGAGACTTTGCTTAATTACTGTTAGTGTAGACATTTGCTATGTACTTTATTATGTGTAAACGTACTGTCAAGCCATCAAATTCCATTTGGTTGTTGTAGTATCACAGCCTGTTCTGAAAATGAAGCTTTATGACTTTTTCTGTGCATGACACAGGCTACCTGTGGTTTTGAGTTCTGCGTACTGTGTCAGACTCACGAGTGTTAACTAAGCTGACCCGTCTGTAACAGGTGGCCCTGTAATGATCCACACAGTTGATTGTGTATGGGTTGGAGAGCTGGTGTACGTGAACCACCAGCAGCATGGCTGTCCCTGCTCGTAGCAGTGCTGGTACTATTCAAGGTGTTAACCGAGAAAACAAGATCTTGTTTTCCTGTTCGTGGTCAAACTTTTCAGTGCTGTATTTTTTTTTTGTCTCTGCTTACCTGTAGTAATCGGAACAAGACTGGGTGAGCATTCCATGCTGGAGAAGTGACCACGCATAGAGCGCTCCATGCTGGAACGAAGGATCTACAGTCTTTTTATGGCCCAAGTTCTAGGCTTCGTATGCTGAAGTGAAGAAGTGCTGCGACACCCTGAGGCTGAATATTTAACACTAGCTCTCCTGCTAACTTCTTGCTGAATCAGTGTGTAATTATAAATACAGGTACTGATAACATGTATATGGCTCTATTTTTATTTGCTTGCTCTAAAAGAGGAAGAATGTGTACAACTTTGACTCACCAACGTGGGCTGCTGCTTTAATTTCAGACAAATTCCGGAGCTTTCAGTTGACCTTCCTGGGATATTTGCACAGTTTTTGTGCATGTCTAAAAAGCACAAAAGACAAATGCACATATAGCATACTGTATGCGCTTTATATGCACAAAAATCTGTGCTGTTTTGGGGTGAAAGGAGGAACTTCAGTAAAGCCTAGATGACTTACTGGCAGGTTTTGGTTTGCTTTGTATAATCATAGATCGTTGCTGCTGGTTTCTATAATGAATCATCTCTTGTTACATATAATGTCAGTTAATAACTGAGGGCTGTCAATATCGTTATGACTTTGCCTTTTCTATTGTCTTACTCTTATGAAGATGTTTGGTTCTGAAGGAGTAAGAGTGTGAGAAGCTTTATTTTTTTTCCAGATATCTTTATATTTCTATTGTATTTTTTAGTTAACGTAATATGTGCTACAGAATTTTTGTTATCAAACATGATCCAGAAATAGCTAGGAAGATCTTGTATGAGAGGGCAAGAGACTGCCTGAAAGCCAGAAGTCCTCTGTCCACGCTGTATGTGGACTGCTTTCTTGCATGATACCCAGAGCTTTCCCGAAGCTGAGAGAAGGTACACTGTAATATTTATTGAAGCAATTTGGACTACGTAAGACAACATTCCCAGTGTAGAACAAGGACGAGTATTTTCAGATCCTGCATGTGTGTTCCTCATCGTAATAAATCCATGCTATGCGGTTGGTGTAGAAAATTTGCCTCTTGATCAGAGCCCCATCGGAGCTATATAAGAATGTGCAGCTCATACTGGAAAGTTCCCTTTAGTTGCTGTGAGAATTTAAGTGTCAGATATTTGCCTGTCTTCTATTCTGGAGATGCACGTGAGAGGACTAGTGGCAGACAGGTACCGACTTGGAGACCCCGTGGTTACAAGCTCTTCAGAGGCTGCTCGGTGTTTCCACTAACCTGTGTATCTCAAGGTGGCGGGGGGGGCAAGTTTCAGATATTTTTTTTTTTCAAAAGAAAACTGAAAGTCTTACTTGGTGTAGTATGGTAGGTGCCTGAAAATAAATACAACATGGTAACTTGATGAAAATCCAGTAGGTGATAAATACCATCTGCAGAGCGTTGAAAAAACTTTATCTGTCTTCTCTGTAGAGATGAAATCGTACATAATGCGTGATAGCACACGAGCGCAGATTTCATGCTTCGTAACTCTTCCCTCTTGATTTGCCTTTCTCTAATGGCGTGCATGGAATATGCCTTATTACAGAGTTACTCTATTAATTTGAATATGTAGAAAAGTGCCTATATGGTAATGCTAGTAAGGCAAATAAGGTGAAAATTTGTATATGTTTACTATATCACCAGTGAGCATTTTATATTGCAATGTTAAAAAAAAGTTATACCTCAAATGTACTTCATCTTTTTACAATCAACCACGCAATGGTTCATTCCACCATAGCCACTGATGGGAACTTAAAAACAAATCCAAAATATGAAGAGTTTAACTCCTTATTTGCTGTTTCTGGTAACTGTTGGAACACAGGCGAGTTTATTAATTTAATTGGATAGCTTTATTTTACAAAAGGTATGGGAAGTTTACAAAGCAGTATATAAACTTATATCATTAGTTGCATTTGCACTAAATGTGATGTACTTTTGCAATTTATTCTGTAAATAAAATTACACTACAGATACTGTTTGTAAAGAATATGTTTTACTTTTAGATAAAGGCACTGGTACTTCACTACAGCTAGCCCTGCCCAATCAGAGTTGTAGGAGGCTTCTCAATACGGAAGGAATTGCAAGACCGAGGAGTCTGTATTAACTGACTTCTTCAAAACCAGATCAGATGAGGCAGTTCTCTGTAGGCTGCTCAGATTGTGTGCAAGGTCACCGTTAGATCCTCCCTTCTGGAAGGGATCTTGCTTTCATAGCTTCAGAAAATGTGCCCTGTCTCTTGAGCCCATCCCTCTTTTCAGTCACTGCCACACACTTGCACGCTCCGGGGTCATTTCTGCCTGCTCGCGGAGCTGCGGTGGTCTTTGCAGAAGCAGCTCCTGACTCTAGAACGGGTGTTGTCATAACCTGAGCCGGTCTGAAGGGCTGAAAATGCAGCAGCCTTCTCCATGGGGTATGGTTCTCTGTGTCTGTTTGGAGAATTTGAGTGTTGCCAAATGAGATCTGAGGGAAATGACTTGATAGAACTTGTGTTGAGAATGAGGAGATGGTTATCGTTACCCTGTCTGAGAACCCGAATATCTCATTTTGGTGAATTTACCTGTGAAAAATGTGGTGTGCTCTGGGAAAACTTCATTGGGCTGAGCTGGCTTGCCTGAAGTTGTGCAGATTCTCTTTAAACTAACCAGATTGTCCACCTGTATTTTTGTCAAGCTGTACAGATAACACTGTATTTGAATTGCCATCTGTTCATCTACAGACTTAAAACATGAATCATATTTTTGAGTACCTTGAGTGTAGAGTGTTAACTGTTTGTTCTATAATAGCTTTATGATCCTAATGGTAAGTTTTAAAAATTAAAAGAAGTTGGCTCTTCCATGTTACAATCACAAATCGAAAGCCAGTATTTAGAAGTGAAAAGTATTAAAAAAATATGAAGAAAAATCCTGGTCTGTGGTTATTTTTAACTTTCAGTGCTTTGGAGACACTTACTTAAAATATTTTACCTTTTAAACGACTTTTAGTTCAAGTATCGGAAAGCTTGTTCCGTGCTTGTGCATCAGAGGCCTGTTGGAAGACGTTCTCTGTAACTACAGTGTAACTTGTCCCGAGGTAATGGAAGTGTTAAAATCTCCACCGGGAACTTCCCATTCGGTCTCCTTGTGCTTCAGCTGGTCCGCCGGAAATTCCACGTGGGATTTTCCTCTCTGTCATGGTTACATTAACATCGGCCCTCTGTGATTTGTTGGCCCCTCTGCTTAGAGAGAAGCCCAGGGGGTGAATCACCACACGAGTCCCCTTCAGGCACGATAGGAAGGACCCAGCATACTTGGGGTTTTCCATGCGTCCTTGTACTCAAAGCTGTGTACCTGCTGAAAAGCTGGCTGATCCACTGGACTTTTCCCTGAAATTTTCTGTCACAAGAGACAAGCCATGGATCTCGGAAGCCTGTGGCAAGTGATTCCTAACCAGCGGCAGGACATGACAACAACCCTGAGGGTTCCCAGGGTTGTGACTGCAACCGGGTCACGGAGCAACCCAGCAAGTTCAGCGCCCGGGCGCAGGCAGAGCTGGGATTTGCCCCGCGTGCCCTGGGACTCCAGACTTGGGGGGCCCCGGGTAGCCCTCTGCTGAGGCTGAGTCGTGCCTGGGTGTGAACAAAAGAACTGCAGGTGTGTCCGTATCCTCCAGAAAATATTCCAGGCCTAGGCAATGAGCAGTTGCACAGGGCACCTCATCGCTTGTACCCTGTTGGAAAAATCACTGTGTAATGGCCTTCTCCACCCCTGTTGCCTTTTTTTTTTTTTTTTGTTTGAACCGTATTTGAAAACTAATAACTAAAACTAACAAACCCTAATTTGCATGTCCCTGGTACAGGGAAGGGTAAGGAGCCATCCCTATCAAGTGAGGTGCTAAACCAAATCCTTGTTGGTTCAACTAGCAGCTGTATGATGTTCTTAATTGTTTCACGTGTCAATTTCCAATGCTGCTGTCAGGTCCGAGAGGTCAAGTAAAGAAAAACTCTCATGTAATGTACAGTTTTCTCATCCACCAAGACTGCCATACCCTACTACAGTGAGAAGGATGGACCATCCTTACACCACCTGAAAACTTCTGGCAGCCCTAACACTGCTGAATGGTTTTCCAGTTCTAACCTTGGATGACAGGGTAGGGTACATGAATGGTGCTTTAGAAAGAACAAAGGCAGGCAAGGAAGCAGCACTGGGGGGTGGGTGCATGGAGAGGTAAATTCCAGTAAACCTGGCGGTTTTGGATTGCAAAGCACTACGCTCTCCGACCGGTACCTCCCCAACCGGAGCACTACGCATGGTGG